TGAAAGCATTGCTCGGGTATTGAGCTAGAACTGGTTCTGTCCGCAAATGGTCTAGTTCTACGCTAGTTCTGAGCTAGTCAGATTTTCTGCGGCCGCCATATTTGGCGACATTTAGCGCTTTCCGCCACGCGACGATGTTTTCATCTGTAATTTGGGAAAATTACGCCGAAGTGTCGGTTGGGAAAATTGTGTGTAAACGGGCACCGGGGAAGTAATTGGTAATTATGCCACTGCCGGCGCTAAGACGAAAAGATGAAGCGAATAAATGAAGCATACGTACGTCATTTCGTCTTGGGTGACAATTTTCTGTACTAGTGTAGAGACAAAAATATATAATCAGCTGTTCAATCAACACCACCTTGTATTGATGCGCCTTGGACTTGACTTGATTGTACAGACGCATGTATACTCGTCCCTTTTCTTCTCACCCCCTTTCTTTCATAAGCGAGCAGAATTGAATTCAATACTTGAACTGTGTAAAAGTAGTCTATGTCCCAAAATATTGTTTCAGCTTATGAGAGATCTACTTCATACATATGTATGTATATAACACTCACGGTGGAGAGAATACAGAGGTGGCGCCGATGACGATACCGCTACTCGGCTCTCAGTGATTTTGACAGAATCAGCTGTTTTGGTGACGTCATAGTAGAGAAGACAGCAGTAGTGATGTGCTGAGTCAATACTTTTAAGTACCCAATACTCTCGATACTCGGTACCGAAACATTTAGGTTTCGAATAAAAGCGCACATAGGCCAAAAATATGGAAAAAACGCCTAACAAAACCCGAATGTAAGAGCCAATAGAGCTTTTTTACTGATTCAAATGAAAGATGTATATATGTCGGTTCGATGCCATAATACAGAGAAACCCTTACTTGTTTGAAGCATTTTTGTTCCAGCTGAATCGGACGATATCATTTTTGTAGGCCTGGGACAGATTCTGTAACCAGTTAACGACAATTTTCGAATCGGTATCGGTTTTGTCGACGTTTGATATCAAATATTTGTAAGTCAACAAGTGCGATATCGATCCGAAACTTGTCGCTAACTGGCTACAGAATCTCTCCCCTGAAAGGCTTCTTCATCCGTCAAAGTATTTTTCGTGAACCTTGGGTCGACTAAGGTTAAAACTGATAAAATAATATTTTTCTGTGGCGATAAGTTCAAGTGTTTTAGCCGATATCATATAAATTAGTAATGAAAGTTTTTTCTAAACCTGAAATGCATATAATGGCGAGGGTTTAATGTAAATAATCGGTATCGGATACCGAAAAGGAAGTATAGGGTACCGAAATCTTTTTTAAGTATTGGGTACCGAGTATTGGGGACAATTCAGCACATCACTAGTCGCCCTCATTCTCGCCGCTCTCAGTTGTCAACTCTACGATGACGTCACGCTAAACTTACTCTCACGAATTCTGCTGCAATCGGCGCAATCTTGTATTCTATCATTCTTGTATAACACTGTGCTACACCAAACATTTGCAGGCGTTTTCATGTAGAAATTACGTTTCCGTATAGTCGAATAACATTTTTTTCTGTTTGAAAGACATGGGTTTTACCTTTCTAACAAAGAAAAAAGTTTGAAAATCGAGTAGTCAGATTTAGTCAGAAGAATTTTGGCTGGCAAAATCTTGAAAAGTGTCAATATCAACTGTATTTAAATTAACGGAAATTAAAGACTGCACGAAGAGTGTGAATAATCTAAACACTAAAAAAGCTAATAGAAAATGGAAGGAGGCAAAAAATTAATGATATGGTAAGTGCTTACTGTGTTTGTGTGAAACATTTCTATTTTTATCTGAATTTAGATTTGTTGTTGCCATTATTTGGACTAAAAATTGATTTTAATACATCTGAGATATAAATTAACTATGGTATTGACTCAGCACATCACTAATACAATGTGTCACATAAAGCTGGATTTACATGAGGCGATTTTCCAAGCGATTCAACATTGCTTCAGAAAAATCTGCCGTGTAAATGGTGATTCAAAATCTCTTGTCTCAAAGTACACAACAAGTCAACTTTTGCTGGCGATTATCGCCTGTCAAAAAATCGCCTCATGTAAAGGCAGCTTAAGACAATGGCTGCGTTTCTTTATACATTCCGGATAATCTCATTTCACAGCCGGAACAAACAGAATACGTTTGAAATATACGTTAGCATATCATCAGGAATATTCTAAAGAATAAGTAAACAAAAAAGTTTATTCCAAATGTTCAGAATGAATAAAGAAATGCAGCCAATAGCTCTGATCCAGTACTCCATGAACTTACAGGATTTTACACGAACTTGCAGGAAGTTGCAGGAAAAATGTTCCCGTACTCCAAAATTCTCCAAAATCCTGTAAAAGAGAGCGCGACTTTTGGAGAGTTGTGTAGAGAATGAAGTTGCAAGATTTTACCCGAACTATTTCTTCTGGTAAAATCATGAAAAGTGTCAAGCAATCACTGGGTGACGTTTTTACAGGAAAAATGAATTTTTTGTTCCAGTACTTTTTGTTGTTACTCACTTTTTACTCTCACTTCAGAGAGTAATTTTGCTGTTTGACAGTTTTACAGGATTTTTCACGAAAAGTATTGGATCAGAGCTAATATCAACAAGTAATCAATTTCATCAAACTGTATGAAAATTTTGTCGTATGAGAAATTCTTCGTCACATACAGCGAAATGTTGGCCGAGTCGCTTGCGAACCTGCAAATACGACAAAATCTTACTCAATACCTCGACAACTAAATGAGATATCTAAAAACTGATAACACCAACTGAAAGGTCCTTTTTAAAAAAATAGAACTGCATATTTAACTAAAAAAAATCAAAATGACGCGTACGACAATGTTTTTCTTAGACGACGATTTATTTCAAACTTGTTTGCTCATAGTCGCGCTTGCACATCGAACTTGAGGGAGAAAAACCTATGGACGACAACACTGCTTTTAGGGACTACTCCGCTGTCAGCTGTAGCTGCTGTTTTGTCCATTCACCATTAGTGTTGCCGTTTTGCTTCAATTTAAGCAAAATTTATTAATTTTTTCCTGCCTGTTAAAGTTTAAAATTTTCTTCTTGCTAAATTTTTTTTTATTAAAATGTTCAAAAAGGATAATTTTCCTCAAAAATTCATTTCTGACCATGAGTCAATAAATTTTTCTATTTTATTTTAGGATCCCGCATAAAGTTCCAGGAAATGTTGTTCAACGCAACTCCCGATCCGCGGTCGTAGAATTCTCAAATCTCCGAGTGTTCTTCTGCCATGAAATCTTTTCGCATAAAAACTATTTGCAGTTGGGAGGCGACCTTAAGTCTCTTCATTTGCTTGACAAGATCAACATGCACATTATGGATAAAAAGATACTAAACTCGTTTTATGTATGCATTCAAAAAAAAATAGCGGAAGGGCTGCTAACTATAATATATATAATAATATATAATAGGTAATAGTTTTCAAATTAAGCATTTGTTAGACTACAAAATCCTTACTTTTGAGCCTTAGATTGCCTTTACTTACTTACTTGCTAATTTTTTTATTTCTATGACCAATTTACCAAGCTTGGTAAGAAAAGCCCAAATTAATTAAATAAGTTGTTTAATTTTTACGAGATTTGGTAAATTTTTTTAACGATTTTGGTAAATTTTATTTTCGACGCGGCAACACTGTTTACCATTCATCTCAAATGGTCGGAAAACCGGCACTTTCGCGAAATTTTAAGTAAAGATTTTAAGCGAGATTTCAAGTCAAAGGGAAGTGATTTCCATATTTATTGAATCAGGTGAAAAAGCTCAACGTAAAATATATACCTACACAATGTCGTTCCTTGCAAGAGCGCTTCTCAGAAATGTAAGTTAGCCTTTATGCATAGATAGCGTCGAATTATGTATTACGTAATTGCAATTCAATGTTTTAACCATTTTAGGTGCCTACCTTATGCCAACGCATGGGTCGTCAGCAGATAACCGCTGGACGGCTGTTACATCAAAGTAAGTGGTCCCATAAGCCTATATAGATCCTTATGCTTCTAGGTACATATGGGTGTTAATTGCTAGTTCTTATCTCGTTTTTTTTTTTTTTTAGCTGCACCACTGTTGACTGTCAAAGTACAACAACCTGCGCCGGATTTCAAAGGATTGGCCGTTGTGGGCAATGACTTTCAAGAGATACAACTCGCAGACTTTAGAGGAAAATATTTGGTGTTGTTCTTTTATCCCTTAGATTTGTAAGTACAATTCAATTCTCTTATCGGTTATTGACCTCTTAATTGATGACTTATGTTTTATTTTAGCACCTTTGTCTGCCCAACTGAGATCATTGCATTTAGTGAACGCATTGACGAGTTCAAGAATTTAAACGCAGAAGTTGTTGGTGTATCCGTTGATTCACATTTTAGTCACCTGGTTTGGTGCAACACGGCCCGCAAAGATGGTGGCCTTGGTGGCCTTAGTTATCCACTTCTCTCCGACATAACTAAAAAGATTTCAAATGATTATGACGTGCTGCTCGAGAACGCAGGCATTTCTCTGCGCGGTACCTTCATTATCGATCCCAACGGCATCGTGCGTCAATTCTCTATAAATGATTTACCGGTTGGTCGATCTGTGGACGAAGTGCTGCGTCTTATCAAGGCATTCCAATTTGTCGAGGAGCATGGCGAGGTGTGCCCGGCTAATTGGCATCCAGAGAAGAACCCAGATACAATCAAACCGGACGTTGCCGATTCAAAAGAATACTTCCAAAAGCACGGATAAGCACTTTACTTAGAATACATTTTAAAATCTAGAATTTATAGATTTTGTTGGCATGAAAAGTAAAGAAATATCAAAGACACGAAACCAACTTTATATGTAGAGTATAGCTTTATTTTTTGAATCAAACTCGTAAAACTACAACTGCATTTATAGTTATAGAATAAAGATGGGGAAAGTAACCTAGGAAAAAACCAAAGTTTATGGTTGAGATAGATTTAAATGTCAAACTTAAACTATTTTTCCATTGCATTACTTAAAATGCTGGATATCCGGTATTCATCTTAGACAATTGACTTGAGTGGCTTATACTAATAATAACCTTCGCAGTCAATTATTTCCAAACCAATTTCAATTAGACGGTGGCGGAGGGGGAGGTGGTTGATTAAGTGCAGGCATACCAGGAGGAGGTGGCGCACATGGTGGTGGTGGTGGTACACATGGCGGTGCGGGCATGAAACCAGGCCCGCCCCAACCACCGAATCCTGGTGGCATTAAGCCGCCTGGGGGTCCTGGTGGAGACCATGGCGGCAATGGTGCTTGCGTTCCCGGTGGTGGAGGGAGCAGTGGTGGCATCGGCCCAGTTCCAGGGGGTGGTGGTGGCAAGGAAGCGCCAGGGATAGGAGGTGGTGGCAAAGCCTCACCACCTGGTGGTGGTGGAGGTGCCGCAGTTATCCATGGCGGCGGAATCAATGGTGGCATCGGGGCAGCTGCACTTCCCCAAGCTGGTGGTATGGGTGGTGGTGGTGGACCTGTGTGCATGAGAGGCGCGGGTGGTGGAGCCGGCTGGGTGATTGTGGGCGGTGGCGCTTGTATAGCCAATGTTTGAGCTGGCTTTTTATCAAATAGACTATAACCGCGGTTGAGGTGCACCTGTGCTAATGGGTCAACGGTGGCTTTCTGGGCGCTTGGGGGCGGACCCTCTCCTAACTCCGCCATTAAACTCATGTACTCCTCGTCAATTTTTGCCTGAGAGTCCTCAGTGGTTGCTTCACCTGCGGCACCAGGTCTCTTACTGCGACAATCTTTTGATATATGTCCGGCTCCACCACACGAAGTGCACACAATGCTATTTGTCACATTGGGTTTGTCGGGACACAACCAAGACTTGTGCTCACTAGATCCGCAATTTGTGCAGCGTGGACAATCAGTCTCGCGCAAGGTGCCATTCAACTGTGCCAACTCTCGTAATTGCATGCGCCTCAAATCATTGTGACCCTCCGGAACTTCAATGCCTTGACGAATTACATCTTTTATTTTATCTACAGCTTTTTTGACTGCCTCCGGATTAGGTGCAGTAATGAATGCATGCAGTGGTTCATCTTCACCCGGCAGAGGTTGACCATCTTTCCTACCGACTTTACCTTCCTTCACGGAACCTTTGCCGCGAATAATGATCTTAGCGCCTGTTTCTTTCTCCATCGCTTTCAGAGTGTTACCACGTGGACCAATTAGCAAACCAACGAAATTTATATCTGGATGTTGTTCCTGTGGTATTAAAACCTTGTCGCTAACACGTGTGACTGGCGGCCTACGAGAAATAATCGTCATTCAAAAAATAAGTTTAAAATTTATATATTTTGCAGTTTACTTGTAATCGGCCGGTGGTTTAAACTCAGGATTAACGCTTTGCATTTTCTGGATCAATTGGTGGCGACGCTCTTCCAGACGCTTGCGGAAACGAAACTCACGGGTGTTCAACCGTTTGCCATCAGAACTATAAATTGGTTCCGGAGATGGTGATCTGTGAATGACAGAAAGAAAATATGGATATTTTCAAAATATTTAGTTTTCAACTACCGCAGGGCTGTGACTTTACTCATAAATGCTGTAGTATGTAAATAACTTAGATTTTATAATCCTATACATATCCTGAAAATTAATTTCGTATTAATTAGCTATTAGAATAAAAAATTTCTGGTTAGGTCTCACTTTTGCTAGGGGAAAAGAGAAAAATTTTAATTAATAGCGTTTATTAATTGTTTAACGGAATTTAGCCGATGTGCACCACTGTATTTTCCCCAATTTTAATTCAGCGTTCGGTTTTGAAATTCGTTCATGTGCCTCGTTGCAATTAAATCTTAGGCTTTTTGCTGTCTTCTGCATTTAGCCATGAAAGAGAAAACATGTATTTCATTAATACAGATCTGCTGAAGTAAATTTAAATAGAATTAGTGTATTTACTTAATAATGACTTACACTACATCTCCCAAATCCAGTTAAGAAATACGGTGACTCAAACAAATAATCACGTGTTGATATTTTTATATATTCGTAATGCTTTTCGAGTTAATTTTTTTTTTGTTATTTTCCTATAAAAATACCGCCCAAGCTTCAACCAAATTCATACAAATCAGTTTGAAACTTGATACAAAATTCTGGAAAATTCAACAAATTTCCATTAAAATTTAAACTTTTTAGGACATTTTTTGGTGTGCAGTTTTATAGCCCATACAATGAATGAAGCGCAAGTTTCAAACGGCTAAGAAAATCCCCTTTGATTTTTGAGATTTTTTTTTGTGGCGGATTTTTGCACTTTTTTCCATATAAGCATGCATTTCTTATGAAATAAAACGCGGGAGACCGTAAGCAATAAAAGCTCTGATCCAGTACTCCATGAACTTACAGGTTTTAACACAAACTTACAGAAAGTTACAGGAAAAATGTTCCCGTACTCCATAATCCTGTAAATGAGAGCGATTTTTGGAGAGTTGTGTAGAGAGTTTGCAAGGTTTTACCCGAATTTTTTATTCTGGTAAAATCATGAAAAGTGTCAAGCGATAGACTGTTTGGCGTTTTTACAGGAAAAGTGCTTTTTTGTTCCCGTATACTTTTTTAGAGAGTAATTTTAGAGTAATTTTTTTTTTTGTAATTTTTACAGGTTTTTACACGAAAAGTATTAGATCAGAGTTCAAATTTCAAAAAAACTAACGCCAGTTTTTGTAAATTGCCCTTGTTATATTAAAAAAAAAAAACGAACAAGTATTCTCCAAAAAAATGATTCCAAAAAATTAACGCGATCTTTAAGCGGGTTGAAACTTGCACTTGATCAGACTAGAATTGTATGAGCTATAAAACAGCATACACAAAAACGTTCTACAAATTCAGATTAAAAAGTTGAAATTTTGATGAAAATTTTTTGATTTATCCTAAATTTTGAATCAAGTGTGAAACTGATTTATATGGATTCGGTTGAAGCTTGGACGGTATTTTTATAGAAAAAAAAGAAAAAAATTTAGCTCGAAAAACATTACGAATATTTAAAATAATCAACATGGGGTCTTTTGTTTGAGTCACTGTACCCGTATTTAAAATCGTATTAAAAAATTGGATTCTATTTTGTAAAAATTTATCCCGGTGTAAAATCGCATCTGATGCTAAATGTTGAATAGAATAAACTATTAAATTGAGGCTTTTGAATCATAAATGTGTTGCAAACAGTTGCTAGATTTACGTACGCAATAGGAGCAAGCACATATAATTTTGGCAAAAGATACTAATCGAGTACATATGCAGAACTAGAATTAAAATAAGGGTCGAACTACGTTTCATAAATAAACCACGATTTCTGTTTTTGACTGACTTTTTGTAAACCTTAACATAGTGGTATTTAAGCAATTAAAAAAAAAATGATTTATTGGTGATGCTTTCTATTCTAAAAGCATCGCTTAAACCTGGTTCGATATGTCATCACTTATATCAAGCGTAGGCCTTGGAAACCAAACAGCATTAAGTTGCGAAAAAGTAGGTGCCACCCATCTTGGCTGCAGATGTATAGAAAAGCAACGGTCAATGATTGTGTACATAGAAATTCAAACCTTTCTTCTGGATTTTGCGGTATTCCCAAGTCTCCAGTGCGTAGTTTGCGGCTGATTTCCTCAATTTCAAGTTGGACTGAAATTAGAGCGGGTTAGAAAAAAGAAAGAGTCGAGATATGCCTCTATATTAGTGAAAGTTGCAATTTATTAATGATACAATAACTTTATATAAAATCAAAGTAAGAATAGAATTCATTATTAGAGATTTTTGTATTAAACAGTGTATATGCGGATTTTGCTGGCGATGTTGCATGATTTTGCTATTTTTTTTTTTGGCGATAAGTCAGCTAGCGCGAGTATTCTCTGTTTTCTCTCAGAACACAGGCGTAGTCTATTCCATTATGAATACTTACATATTTGTTGGTAAAGAACTGATAAAATTTGTTAATTATTCGTGAATTTAACAATTTCATTAATGTTATAAGAACGGAAATTATAAATGATTCTATTTACTTTACAGACACTACATCGAAATCCCGTGTATGGAAGATTACGATAGCAATAATTCGCTTCTCGTTATGGTAGGATTGATCTGATCCGTGCATCCTGTGCATACGGACGGGAGTTGGCTGTTAAACCTTAAATTTTTTCAAGAATCTGATTAGCATTACATTAACTACTTAAAAAAATGGTTACTTAAAATAAAATATTAATTCCAACTAAACCCACATACGACGACATTTCTCGTAAATGAATGCTTTTTGTAGTTTCCCCTAAAGAAAACGATAGATTAATAAACGATTGTATTAAAGAGCATTATTTGAATATGGTGTTCAGCTGCCGTTGGCTGCAATCTCGACGCATTTCTGTGAAGCCACGATCAGGGTTCGTTTACATGGAGATCGATGAAATTTTGCTGTTTTTCATTATGATTATTTTTTGTGTAAGTTTATTCTTAAAACTAGAGATAATTCTAAAGCGTGCAATACTACCTACAATAAAAATATGTACAAAAAATAAATTATTTGTATACTTTACCTAAATATGCCTCCTGTTGAGCTGAGTCTAGTGTGGGGGGCAAGATTGTTGGCATCCCAGGTATGAAAGTCTTGTCATTTTCAGTGCCACCCCAACGTGATCTCTTACGCTTTTTACGATCAGTTCCATCTTCTACAAAATCAATAACGAAACAAATATGTAAAATCATATTTATCATAACTGTTAGGAATCACTCACGTGAATTTTCAGAAGGTCCATTACTACAAGAATCATTACTATTGGAACATTGAAATAGCGCAGCAAAGTTTTTTGAAGATGTGGTGCTATTCATTAATTCTTGAATAGTTTGTGTTAAATCAAACCCCCTTTCACGAGGTTCCTCTTTAATTGTATCCATGCGATGATCTCGACCGTTGCGAAAATCAGAGTCGACAGCATTGCCTTCATTATGATCTCGATCTCTGCTGCTGCGGTCGTGTCTTCGAGCTTCATAACTACGACTACGTGAACGCCCACCGCGATCACGCCCACGATCCCGATCCCGTTTCTCCGTCCGACTACGAGAACGTCGCTTTCGACGGCCATCACAATCATTGCTTCGCGACCGACTACGTCGAGAGTGACTACGAGAATGACTTCGACGAGAACGGGTGTTACGTTCCCGATCACGGTCACGGCTGTCTCTTCTGCGATCGCGATCACGATCCCTTTCCCTATCGCGATCCCTATCTCGGTTACGTTCGCGATCACGATCCCGCTTGTAACGATCTCTTTCTCGACTGTCCTGTCGACGGTCTCGGTCGTTACTCTCTCGGTCACGGTGACGCTCACGGGACCTGTCTCTGTGAAAAAATACATATATATTTTTAGCAAAAAAATAAAAATTAATTAAAAAAAAAAACGGTTGAAAGACATGTTAAATAAGTACCTTCTCTTTCTGTCCCTATCTCGATCTTTATCCTTTTCCCTGGCATCTCGACTATGGTGGTCTTTCGAACGCGAACGGGAGCGATCGGAATTGTCATGCCTGCTACGGTAATCACGTTCGCTATGGCCATTGTCCGGCTGTGGCGGCTGCATTTCTCCTATTGTCGGCCGTGGAGGAGTTTCACTCATTTTGCATAAAGCACAATTGCAATTATATTTCTAATATAAATTCAGACGATTTTTTCCGGATCCACAATTACTTTTGGATATTTAAGATTTCAGAAGCGTAAATTTCACACGTCAAGCCAGAAAATTTTTCACTATTTCGAAATGGATAAAGAATTTTCGAACTCAGAGTTGATTTTATGAAATTTCTTCAGGTTGCCACACTAGTCCTTTTAAAGAAGTCTGTCAAACCTAAGAATTTCCAAAAGAGATTGCAGGAGCAGTTACACCTTGCATGTAAAGTGCCTTTCGAAAGCAGTTTTTATTTCTGAAAATCAAACTTCCCGATACTAATTTTTGTCTGTTTACACGGTAAATGCAGACAAGCCCATTTTCACCTATGTTTCCAGACATTCTTATGCTTATATAAATAAATAAATAAATAAATAACCAAATTACTGACCTGAAAAATTTGTTAAAATTGCTCAAATGCGATCAAAAGAACCACAATGTGAATAGCGCTTTGAAACTTATATTGTTCATATCAGGAGATTACAATAATTACAAGTGTTTATTTAAATATTATGCAACATTTTTATAATCTTATATAAATTCGGCGAAAACCGGGTAACACGGCAACACTCGATTGGTTTGACAGCACTTGCAGCACAAATGAAAATCGCTAGTGCAACATGAGCAAGTTGAAATTGCTTCTCGAAAGCGACTTGCGTAATTGCAGTTGCAGTTACACCTTGTAATCTTTATTTCTGAAAGTGATTTCTGCAAATCTGCAAAAAGGACTTTCTGGCTGTTTACACGGGAAATTAGACTTTCGATTTCGCATTTTAACAGCAAAATGCGTATTAAAACCCCTTGCATTGCCACGTTTAACCACATCTTTATTTGTATAGTTAACGCGAAGCTACACAACATGCGTTCGCCGGCAAATGCGTCACGCCGTCAATGTCAAATAAAATTGAATACGTGTGTTTGTATGACAGCTATTACAGACGACGCCGTTACGAATACGTTAACGCAGTTGCCGTGGAAAGTAAACCAACTCGCTACTCTTCTGTTGCGTTCATGCGTTGACATTTGAAATTACATTTGTGGCTATGCTTATCAGCTGTTTNGCGAATCTGTCACGTAAAGCGAAGCAAAAGTTTTATGTGACATCAGCTTTCTGTTGCGTTCATGCGTTGACATTTGAAATTACATTTGTGGCTATGCTTATTTGTTTACAAAACAATGAGCGGCACAACACAAGGTGTGTAACAGCAAATTTTTCAACGTCGTCAACGCACCAACGGATCAACGCAAGGCCACAGCAAATAAAATTATGCGCCTTCAGCTTTAGGCTCTCTGCACTTGGTCGTCTAATAATAGTTGCTTCATCGTCACAATCATGATTCAATGATTACATGACGACTACGCTTTCGCACACTCGGTTGTGATATCTCAATTCATTTGGCTTCTAAAAATTCGCTTAGAGCAGTGATTTTCTGTTTTTTTTTAAATACTCATTTTTATATAATTTTAATGCAAATATTAGCGTGTTCACAAATTTTTCCCCATAAAATGTAAAGCATTGTTTGCATTCAACTCAACGCAGGGTTGCACGAAAAAAAGTTGATTGACTAAATGTTGGCTGGCGACCAACTTTGTTTTAAGCGATTAGTTGAAAGGCCGTTCACCAAAAAGTTGAATGCAAAGCTAAACAATGCAAACACCTTTTTATGGCAAATATTTTGATATTTTTAGCCATCCAACTTTTCTTCGTGCAACTTTGCGCTGAGTTGAACGCAAATATTGAACAATGCAAACACTGCTTTAAAAAACTATGCGTGCATGAGTCTGGGTTCAGACACAGAAACTTTTGTTGCGGCAGCTCGAAGTTTGTTGGAGAGAGGGCGACGAGGAAAGGGGAAGGGCACCGAGTTCCACGTGCTCGGGCAACACGCTTTGGCTTCTCGTTCGTCCGAACAATTCAATTTGGCGGTTCACAGCTGTCAACAACAATTGTGTACAAAATCATTGCTCTGTGTGCACACGAAGGGCAAAACCAAAAGAGACGTTGCCGAATATGAGCAACAAAAGTTTCTCTGTGTAAACCCAGTCCGACGGTTAGCAAACGACAGTATCGTACTTATCCGTTTCTGCATCTTCTACGATTTGCCGATATTTAGCCGATAACGACAAGTGTGCAGCCCCCATTGAAATGCATGTGCTCGCCTCAAAATTTAAGGGCGAGACGATAAGGCAACAATGATTGGAAGAAAAGTGTGCAGATAGCCTTATAATTTATACGCTGACGACACACAATCAGTTTTGCCTTTAAATTTCCTCACACACATTGCTTGTAAAAAAAATATCAAAATTGAAAGTCATTACGTTGGCTGCATCCAATTTGAGAATCAATTTCATTATCAATATATCGTCTTCAAGAAAACAATGTCACTAACCAGCTTCTGAAGACCATTTTTAATTCCATTGTAGATTAACATTTTAGCATGCAGAAAGTTAGTATATTTTTATTTTCACAAAATTGAAAGCAAAACTGAAACTCAATTGAAAGGAAAAAATCGAAGGCAAGTTGCCCATTCAAGTTATAAATAAGAGTATGTTAGTGAAAAAATGTGAGTGTATTGAAAACTGAAAGGGGAAAATTGAATGTGTAACGTCCCGGTTATCCTGAGTTTTTCCAGAAAAAAAATTCACCCGAAAATTTTTCATCCACCCATAGTAAATACAACCATGGAAATTTTCCTTGTGATTTGCCTTTTGGAAATAAAAAACCTCTTCCGAAAGACACTTTACATGCAAGGTAACTTAAGCACAAAATACAATAACTCAGTGGCAGTGGCAGTTTTTCGAAATCAGCTGTTTTTTAGAAAGTGTGGTGTCCAATGAAGCGACTCACAATACAGCAGTGGCAGTTAGCAGTACTGCTCAGTTTAGCCCAAATTCTAAATTCACTGCCACTGCCTTCATCGCAGCGAACTTCGCATGCTGCATTTGACATAAATGAAACGCAGCCAACATCTGTGGATGTCACTGAAGCCTAAAAGGCAACAACAAAAATGTAAACAAACAAAAGGGAATATCAAAAAAAGCAGTCACTGACAACCATGATCCAACTACACAAGATCTGATAAGATGAAGCAAAAGAAAAAAGTAATTTTCTGGCTGACGTTTGTAATTTCGGCCCCATGTTATTTTCCGCGAAAAGTAAACAAAGAATATAAAGACGAAGCATAATGAAAAAATGCAAGCAATGTTGTGCACATGTTTGTGCTGACCAATTTATTATTTTTGTACGTGTTTTTGCATCCAATCACCGCGCACTTCATTTTAATTACATTTGCACAAAAAATCACTGAAATAAACCACCGACAAAATACACATAAAGAAAGAAGCAAAACAGAAATAGCAAACTTCAAAGTTACGAACGTCACACACTTTTTTCTCAATTGCTATTACTGGCCGTCTCCACAGGATATTTATTGCTGCCCAGCTGTCATTTTGGTCGCTAGATATAAGTTATATCAGCGGCAATATTTGTGTGGGCTTTTTTATATCTTGATATACGCATTTGTATGATAGCTTCGAAAACGTATTTTTGCCAGATTTAATCGATTAAAAAATTAAAAAGATAGGCTATTTTACAACCAAATACATAATTACAAATATTTTAACAGGAGACAGCTCAATTTTTGCTTTTATACTAGAATAACAATGATGTTGCAGCCACGAAGTTTTCGTGCAAATGAAAATGTAGCTGTCAAACTACCAAATTGCCGGCAATAGATGGCAAGATATAGCCATTCAACCCTGAGTGAGTTGAACGCAAAAGTTGAACGCAAAGTCCCTGTGTGGGAACACCTTTTAATATTTGTCATTTGCAAATGCAACCCTATGCTGGCTCCACGTGCCGAAATTAAATGTCAAATTAATGTTTTGTTCCATTCTATACTCAATTTTATATAGGCTCTTTTCTTAAATTTTTTAGCGATTAAAAATAATTATGGCCAAAGCGAAGAAAAACAAAAAAACTTTAGCAGACAAAGTTTATGCCAAAAAAAGCGATGCAGCAGCTAATACAAATCCATTTGCAACTGCAAGGCCAGCGACTTCGAAGAGATTAAATCCTTTCGAGATGCATATAAACAGAGAAAAGTTCCAAATTCTTGGACGGACTTCCAAGCACAGCAAAGGATTACCAGGTGTGTCTCGAGCCAAAGCTGTTAAGAGACGTCAGGAAACGCTTGCGGTAGAGTATCAAGCAAAGCATAAAACGAATAAATTTCGAGATCGTAGAATAGGAAAACATCAAAATAGCGACCAACTTAGTGAAGATGTAATCAATGCACGTTTTGTGGCCGCAAGAGTAGAGCAGCTTAACCAAAGTAAATCTTCAAGATTTAACCTTAACGACGATGAAATTTTGACACATCGTGGTCAAACACTCGAGGATATTGAACAGTTTCGCGACGAGCGATCCGATGATGAAGATTTAGATGATGAGAAAGTGAATGGTTTGTACTAAATATTTTTCTTTGTGCAAAAGTTGAACTATATTTTTGATTCCAGCTGAGTTCACTGAAGCCGCACACTTTGGAGGAGACGTTGCTCTGTCAAAGGACCGACAGGCTGCAATCGATGAAATGATTGCTGAGCAAAAGAAGCGTAAAATGGAGATAGCGAAAGAGAAAGATGAAGTGCACACTTTAACTGAAAAATTGGATTCAAACTATAAAGATCTACTCGGACTTGTTGACAAAATGTCAAAAAAAGAAATGCTTAAAAAGCCCAAACCAGATGATTACGATAAAACATTGAAGGAAATGATTTTTGAACCTAGAGGTGTGGTTGCTGATAAATTATTGTCAGAGGAAGATTTAGCTAAGAAAGAAAAAGAACGGTTGGAAGAATTGGAAAAAGAGCGCCTGAGACGAATGCGTGGAGATGAAGAAGTGGAAGTTGCATCAAATCAACCAAATCACCGGTCAGCCGATGCACTAGATGATGGATATTTCGGTTATGCGGTGGAAGAGGAAGATGAAATTTTGGCATACACTTTAGATGGTTTGTTAAAAAAAAAGAAGCATCTTTATACATTAACATTTTGTCTTATGTAATTTCCTATACTAAAGGTGAATTAGGAACGAAGTTAATTGGAAATGAATCTAAAGAATTGGAGCAGGAATCCGTAGAGGTCGATGATAATGAAGAAGATGAAGATGCGGAAGAAGAGGGTTCAGAAAGTGATATTAATTCAAATGCCGAAGAGGATAAAGTAGATAACTTAAGCGATTTAAAACTTACTGATTCTGAATCTGATGAGGCTGAAGTTGAAAATGAACAAGGAACGACTGTAAGCAGTAACAAGAAAAAGAAATCAAAAGCAAATTTAGAAGAATATCCTGGTTTACCATATACATTGGATATTCCAACAAAATACAACGATTTCAATAAATTGTTGCGCAAGCGTGCTCCCAAGGAGCAAGGTGTTGTAATTGAGCGTCTTATAAAATGTAATCATCCAAAGTTGGATGGTATAAACAACAAAGAAAAGATGGAAAAACTTTTTGCGTATCTATTGCAGTACGTAAATGAAACTTTCACCGACGCCACTCCAAACGACATATCCACAAAATTTAAAATACTGGACAAGCTAAACCCGCATATGTACGACTTAGTTCACATGAATCCAGAAAAAATGTCAAGTACGCTATTGGAGGTTATCAAGGAAAAATATACCAGTTATCGTAAAAATACTAAATTATTTCCAACACTTGAAACGCTTATTTTTTTCAAACTTGTATCTAATTACTGCAGTACTTCAGATTTCCGACATGCTGTTGTAACACCATGTTATATATTCTTACAACACATATTGTCAAAGTCCCGGATACGGTCACGACGGGATATCGCCGGTGGCCTATTTTTAGTGACACTTACCCTTGAATTCTCGCGGTTATCGAAACGGATTTTGCCAGCAGCACTTAACTTTTTACTTGGGATCGTATATTTAAGTATACCAAAGCGACCAGTAGAAGTATTGAAAATTGTACCACCTTTTCAGAGTGTTGGACCAATGAGCAAACTGCTGGCAGTCACAGAAATCAGTGAGAAGGAAACGTTAATAGACGAGTTATTGAAATCTGAAGACTTAGTTTTGACCGCGTTTTCTTTAGACTTTAAGATAAGAGCTTTAAATACGGCGCTCAAATTGATAAGGGATATTATCACAAATATAGAAGAACATATTGGCTCAAACTATTTTGCTGCACCCTTTTTGCATTTACTCGAACGTCTTCCGGTAGATATTTACCCTGAATTTGTGTGTGGAAATTTTAAGGCGGCAAAGATTGCTTTAGAACGTGTTTCTAAGAAAAAATTAATTAAGATTGTGCCTCCAGAAAAGAAACCAAAAGCGCTGCGCCTACTTGAGCCGCGAATCGAAGTAATTTACGACGATAAGCGGAGACCGCGTTTAACGAAAGAAAAGGAGGAGCGGGCTAAGTTAGTACACAAAATACGACGTGAAACTAAAGGTGCTATACGAGAGATACGCAGAGATACTGAGTTCTTGCAAAATATTCGAATACAAAAACAAATCCAAAGGTACGAGAATTTTTCGTTTGAAATATACATACATAATACGTACATATGTAATATTTTTGAAATATACATAATTTTCTTTTCAGTGATATGGAGCGCAAAGAAAAAGTCAAGCGCATCTATCAAGAAGCCTCTGCCCAGCAAGGTGAACTTAATGAGCTGGAACGTATTAAGAAGCGGAAAAAGTTTTAGTGATACTATGTAGACTTTTAATTATTTAAATTAGTTTATATTGATTAAAAAGATAAGCAAGAAAATATAGACTAAATTAATCAAAACATATTAAGTATAATATACGTGGACATACAAATTATGCACATAAACGCACATTTAAAACTGTTCGGTCCATCGTAAACAAAATATTTATTGAGAGACATGCATTTCTACTGAGTCACTAAAAAACAACGAGCAAAAACTATAGAGAAAACTAACTACATTTGTACACATTTACTGTATAAGTAAATTATTTACAAAATGCAAAGATTTAATAATAAGTCGGTTGCGAAAACAAGCAAAATGATAAGACAATTTGAGTAAAATGCTGTAGTTTGTGTGATTGACACGCCCTATTATATATTTAATGTATATTTTTGTTTATATTTTTATTATACACAGAGTGACCGAAATGATTCCACTAAGCTAAGAGAACTTCAACATTCCTTCAAATTGAACTTTAAGTATTAATACTAATTGCCAGAAATTTCCTGGCATCGTAACGTAGCTGCTTCCACTGCGCCAGAAACTGTGCCACGAAAACCTATTTTTAAAATAGTAAATACTACCAACAATTTTTTTTTTTTTAGTAATAAAATAAATACCTGCCGATTCTAACACCTTTAGTGCGGCAGCAGTTGATCCCGCGGGGCTTGTTACATTATCCTTCAAAACACCCGGGTGTTCATTAGTATCGCGAACCAACTGTCCAGATCCTAAAACAGTTTGCGCGGAAAGACGATAAGCTAAATCGCGCGGTAAACCCATACGTACTCCACCATCCGCTAAGGCTTCTATCATGACAAACACATAAGCTGGCCCACTTCCGCTCAAAGCTGTGATGGGATCAAACAAATATTCTGGCACTTCTTCACAGGTGCCAATCGCCTCAAATAGTGATTTTGTTACTTGGCCATCCTCTTGATTTGCCTTGGTACCGCGAGTATATACCGAGCACGCTGATTTTACAAGAGCAGGCATGTTCGGCATGGCGCGGATGACTCGTGCGTTAATGTCTAAATGCTGCAATTGGAGATAATCTTTTAGGTAAATATTTACCAATCAATATCTTACTATTAATGCGTACCTGTTCCAACATTTTTATAGTTATGCCCATGGCTATTGAGATAAACAATTTATTATTGCTTAGCGATTTTATTTCAGGTAAGATAATGGGTACTACCTCTGGCTTAACTGATATGAATACAATATCAGATTTTTCAACGACTGGCTCGTTTTTTACAACCGTTTCGACGCCGATTTTCTAAATTCAATTGAAAATTAGTAAAATATTTTAATTATTTGTTTATATGATGTATTTACCTGGAACTGTTTAAGGCTTTGTATGTCGTTTGGGTGTACGCTAGCAATCACACTGTCGGATTTTGTAAGACCTACATGGAAAAAATGATATGGAAATATAATTTTAAGCATTTCTGTATGGTTATTATTTATTTACCGGCTGAGAGAAAGCCTTTTATCATAGCTAGTGCCATCTTACCGCCCCCAATGACCCCGATTCTACCCACTTGATTCATATTTGTTTAGTATAATCTAAAATCACAGCAATATTATTTGAATACTCGAAGACTAGGTCCAAACAGCGCAATTGCCAATCGTTAATTAAACACCTATCAGCACGAAACTCAGAATGCGTCGTAAGTGAGAAACGCCTGATAAGGAATTGTATGATAAGCTGAGCACTATAGCCAATGATCAAGCAAATATATAGATAAGTGCCTTCGATATCCGCTGCACGTCCCTGTTCAAATACAAGCTATTACAAGCAAATTGTATACATATTTTTGTACACTTGCATTGTAAATGTATGTTGTAGCCGAACAGAGGCTTTAACTGATAAGCTTCAAAGAATAATAACCAGCAAATGTTTTGAATTGAAGCGTCCATAAGTTAAAATGAATGACGCCTCCCATAAATCTTGTATACATAACAAGCAAGTGCACAACTATTTATACAAATTACACTGGTTTACATCAAAAATGTTCAATGGATGCCACTATCCGATTCCGATATAGAATTGCTCGCTGATTCCGAAAATTTAGTTAATTATTCATTCTATGGATAACTTTTCGAGATATTTTGAATTTACCGTTATTCAGCTTAATACCAAAATTGGTTCCATTTAATCACGAATATCGTACGAACAAATTTAACAATCTTAATATGAAAACTAATAAAATTCTCCATAAAACATAAATATATGTTACCGGCCAAACCCGATATTAGGACAAACTAGTTTTACCTAGGCTAAAGAACACATTTAAGCGTAGGTGACCTTCGACCGCACTTTAAAAAATAACCCTCATCAGTCCAACTCCAAGTACGCAGTCCAAAATATTGTTGCGTCCAACTTGATTTCACATTGGACGGATATATTGGTGGAACTATTTTAGCCTAGGCTAGACTAGTTTGTCCTAAGATCGGGTTTGGCCGATAATATACATTACTTTCCGATAGGACTTATAGTTTCTGACAAATTAATTAATCATTCCAGTTTTTTCAAATTTCCAATGAAAAAAGCAAGCTTTTACAGAAAAAGAATTTAAATTTAAAAGATAACGGGTTCTGTGCCAAATTTTTGCATTTGTGCTAAAGTATGTTCTGTTACAAAAAAAAAAAAAATCACCAATGAAGAAAATCGATGGATAAGTAAAAAATTCNTGTGCCAAATTTTTGCATTTGTGCTAAAGTATGTTCTGTTACAAAAAAAATCACGAATGAAGAAAATCGATGGATAAGTAAAAAATTCATGAGTGGTCAAACGAAAATACGCAAAGATTTTTTGTATGAAAAATGAGCAGGAACGAAAGTTACTCATACGCCAAATACACCTGAGTAGCACGCTTTTCGGCTCATATTTCATACAAAAAATCTTTGCGCATTTTCATTTGATCACTCATTACTTCCTTATTTATCCATCGATTTGCTTCATTAGTAACATGTTTTTTTTTTTTTTTTGTAAGAGAACAGGCAATGCAAAAATTTGGCACAGAGCTTATTTTTTAAATTTTTCTTCTGTTAAAGTTTATTTTTTAATTTTTTCTTATAATTAAAAAAAAACTGGAATGATTAATTAATTTGTCAGACACTATGAGTCCTATCGGAAAGTCATGTATATATGGTTTATGGACAATTGCATTAGCTTTGATTTAACGTATCTCATTTTATGATGGTTAAATTGGTACGTAAGATATACGTGATTAAGTGGAACCACTTTTTGTTTTAAGCTGAATAGCGAATAATTGCAATTATCCATAGAAAAAAAAATTAACTCGATTTTCGGAGTCACCGAGCAATTCTACATAGAAATTGGATAGTGGCGTCTGGAGAAAAAAACCAATCTAAAATTTGTGATCCAGTGTTTCTTTTTTGCATAACACACTGGGCTAAAATCTGAATAACCTGAGTAAGTTTAATGAATATGGGATATGAAAAGGAGATTTATTTTGAGCCCCAAATTTGTTTAATTTTGCAAAAAAAAAAATCGTTACCCTACACGGAGCACGGGGATAAGGTCTAACCCAAAAGTTTTTGCCAAACCACTTTTTCTTCAAATTAATATTTTGTCATAATAATAACACGATATGAGCTAGCTATTATAAGGGAACTCAAAATAAAACTCATTATTCTTAACTTTTCCAAGTACGTGAAAGAACATTCCACAGTAGAATTTTTGGGCAGGAAATTTTTACTTTTTCCACCTTTTTTACTTTAACTGCAAAAAAACAACATTTTAACTTTTAAATTAGCAAAAAATGTGAAAATCTATGTTTTTATACTTTATGCGATCTGTCACCATACTATTTATCCTGACTGTACCAATTATTATATTCATTTTAAAGGTTATTAAATACCCACGAAAATGTGTTTTATGGCGACAAGAGCCATACTCCTCAGGCCACTGTGATGCGAGCTGACATATCCATGTTAAGTTCGTTACATCTATGGCTTGGACAATGAGATTCAGGCGAAAACTCTGCACATGCGTTGGGAATGAAGTATCTTTAAAAAATATTTTGCTTTTTTAACCTACTTCCAAAAAAGGAGAAGGTTATCAGTTCGTCGGAATCTTTTTTTTTTTTTTTTTATTCATGTTACCGCATAACTTTGGACCACGTCAACCGATTTCGATAAATCTTTTTGTATCGGAAAGGTAGTGTCTCAGAGGTGGTCCCATACTAATCAGGTTGAGATCCGATCAGTGGATCATGAGATATATATATATATATATATATTTTTTTTTTATATGGGAGTTGAAGTCGGTTTTTTTTTTGCTAAAAATTACTTGTTAAATTTTCAATTTTTTGTTTTTTAGATATCTTGTGATTTACAATAGATAAACAAGTAACTTAACAAAGCTTTTAAGGCGCATTTAATGAGGTGCTGTTATTTATATATTTAATAAAAGAGGAAAAACCTACCCACGCACCACCGAACGGCTAATTAATTTGTCGAGTTGTTTCTTTCCATCCAAGTAATATACGTTTTAAATATGAAACAAATCGGACCATAAATACAGATTTTCCAAGTATTTATTCATACATATGGAGCCCTTACCGCCAAAAAGATTTAAGCGGCATTTTTTTGAAAATTTGTATTTTGATGCAGAAATGCATCTACATAGAATAATAAATAAAATAAAAATAAAAACTTTTTAATATACAACGCTTTTATAAATGGACTAAAAAGTAAAAAATAATCGGCCCTACCGCGAATTTCACATGAACAAATATTCCCAAAAATTATAAAGCAAAACAAGAACAATTTTTCCGAATTGGTTTTTGTTTTGCATGTTAAATTATGGGAAAGATTTATTCACATGGAATTGGCGATAGGGCTGAATATTTCTCAGTCCCACAGAATTTGTTTTGATAACTTTTGATTTTGAAATTTCAGCAAAAGTCATTATAAACAATTTATGAGATTGAAAACAAAAAACGTGGAGCGCATGCAACACAAAACATTAGACTTACTTGACAACTACATACATAACATGGACCTAAAATTTCTACAGCGAAAGTACAGGTTTGAGATCGATTTTAAGTGGTCGTTACCCTGTAGGGAAAATCTCTAGTTTTGAACTGTTGCGCTTCTAGTACATTTAGAACCACTACTAGTTCGCGATAAATCTCTTTTGCATGCAAACAACTGGCGAATTTAACACAGCGATGTCATAGGA